CAAAGGAAGCAGAGGACGATCTGCACCCCTCGCCGGAGGAATCGGCGGGCTTCTCATCGGCTTCTTTGCCTTTTCAACTCTTGCAAGTCTCATCAATGCCGCCATCTGCATCGCCAATCCGGCTCGGACAATGTCTTCGGGCGCCTACTTTGCAGTCTGGCTCGTACCTGGACTACTTGGCGCTGCGCTTTGCGGTCATTTCAAGTTTGCTGCTAGGCTGTTCAGCGGCTTGCTCGGAGCTGCAAGTCTCACCATCATCCTCACTGCCATGTTCGGCATACACACGCTGCTCATTCGCGCCATCCTCGTCAGCATTCTTGCGGTGCTCCTCAGCGCTCCACTCTTGTTGCCCCGATCGGCTCTGCTTCAACGACACCTGCTCAACCTCAACACCAGCCTCATCGGCTCGGTCGTCTTCTTGAACGGTGTTGCGCTCTTCGCGCCACCCGAAAAGTCTACCGAAAGCTGGTTAAACCTAACAGCGGTGCTCTTTGCTCCGGACGGATCGGACGCTTTGAGCGCTGCCGTGGACAAGTGGGGCACTTCGGCTTTCAAAGGATTCATCGCTGGGGCGGTCCTGGCAGTCGTCATTGGATTCTCATTCGAGGCTCTGCTCCATTCGCACTCGGGAGAGGATGCCGAGGCTTCATGGAACGACTATCTGGGCGCATATACGGAGAGATACGAAAAGAGTGGAATGTTGCCTGGCCAATACGAAGGAAGTCTGGCCAGGCAGGGCCTTTTCGAACCTGCTCCGACGCCCTGGCAGCGCATCGCGGCTGTGTTTGCTGAGGCAGGATCGGCAAGATCCGGACCCGCATCGTACGGCAACATTCCTGGCGGGCAAAATGTTGACGACAGGGACACAGATGCAGATACGCTCACTGCGATTCCAACCAGGAAGCGTAGCAGAGGCGCTTCGAGTCGCAGGACGCACAAGAGTGGCAAGACGTCTCGGGGCGTGCCCGCTAGGTTTGAGGCTCTCAGTAGGAGAGACAAGGATTTGGACTTGGAGAATGGGGACGACAGCGAGAGCGAAGGGGATGACTCGGACGCTACGGATGTTGAAGACGTAGCTGGCGATCTTTCCAAAGAAGCGTCGGATAGCAAGAGTCGTTTGAGCTCCGCTAGCAAGGGACCTGCGACGTCCGAGCAGCTCAGCGCCTTGGCTCGCAGCACATACGCTTTGCCATCGCCATTACCTCGTCCACCCGGATCATTGAGCACCGCAACGCCCTTGCCGTCGTACAGATCGGACGCGACGGCCTCAACGGGTGTGGGCTCGAACGTGTCCGGCAGTACCAAGGTGTCCTCCGTCAGCACAGCGTACGATGGCACGCCCCACAAGGCATTTGAGAATTACAGAGACGCGGGGGCGTCTAGGGCTCCTAATTCCTCTTCCAGACCCACGAGCCCTCTGAATCCCGCTTCGGGCGCAAACAATGGGAATGCGGTGCAGGCCACGCCAAGCTTGATCAACGCGATCAGTCGTATACAGGCAGCTCAGGCTCAGGCTAGAGCTTGGCAAGCTGCTCAATCGTCCAATAGCAGCCCGTACGGCAATCAAGATCCCACCGGCTTGCCTCCTGCCACTTCGCCTAAAACACCCAAATAGGGAGGACAAGAAGGTTTTGGCAAGTGTTTGAGGGACGAAGTGGACAAGAAGTGAGCCGTGGACATTTACGCGGACTTGCTCTTGCTTTGTCCATCACTGGAAGATGCCCCTACAGCGAGCCAGCCCTGACCAGCGCTTTGGTGGCGCATATTCTTCGAGGCGCTTTACTACCGGACAATAATTTTCTTTCATACGCGAATCGTTTGTATCCAGCCACGCAGTTTATTCGGATCGTTTGCTTGTTTTCTTTGCGAACTGCATGTTTCGTTGGGCGTCGCACGATGTTTGGCTACTTTATCGACTCTTGCGGGTCTCGTTTGCAACTCGATATGATTCATCGTCGCTTTGCTCCCATTGTCCGTTGTGCAGATCGCTGCGATACGCTTGACGCTTGTCGTCTCTCACTGGGCAAACAGCGGTGGCTGGCTTTGGTACTGTAAGAAGCGCACGTTCCCTCGGTCTTTGCTTTGGATGCACGTTGTGGGGGAACGAGACGAGCGAGATATGGGTTGCTGCGCGCTGGCGCAATGGCCTGGCCTGGCCTTTGCCGAGGCTGGTCGACGTGTGATCCGAATGCTCGACAGGGTGATGCAAGTGTCATCGATGCAAGCCGGGGGGTCGTGCCATGAGCGCATCTGGAGCGAGTCGAGAGTTACGAGTTTGGGGGAGGGGTTAACGAACTTCGATTGGGGAAGCTAAAGGCAATCACGTGACTAATTCACGAACATGTGTGTGACGATGGCGTGATGCGCGAAATCAATTTTGAATTAAGCGTCTGCTGAATCGACCCCAGCAGCAGCGCAGCCAGATGTGCAGCCGCGCGGTGGAGTCTTGAGAGCAAGGTTGGAGAGAGCAGAGTAGGCTGGTGCTGACCACCATTCCACTGCAGAGAAACATGCAACGATAAGGCAAAAGGGTCAAGCTGAGGAAGATATGGTGGCATGCTGCCCTGGACACACAAGAGCCGTATAGTCCAGTCGAGGGTTTGAGCCTCTGCTCGCGCCCTGGCAATCGTCTACCAGACAACAGGTGTAAACGTCGCGGCATTCATCCATCATCAGAGAAGCGGGCTCAAGGAAAGCAACGAACGGGGGGCTGTGCAGCGATTCCATTCATCCTCCACCCGGCGAAGGATTGGAAGCGGTGCCTCAGGCAGAGCCCATGGCAAATAGGCCGACGATCTCAACTCATTCAGCGGTCGAGAGTTTGTAGGCTCATCAACCCTTTACCTCCCTAGCTCTAATAGCGATCAAGAAGAGACGTGAGAGCGCTCAGCGGTCTTGTTGGACCTATCGACATCGTTCGGACGGCATAAGCGCATCAAGAGGAAGGAGGGATAATGTGCCGCCTTTTGGTGTACAAGGGCGTGGAGCCAATACAGCTCTCTCACTTGGTCACACGTCCGGCTCACAGCATCATCAATCAGGCTTTCGATGCTCGTTTACGATTGGACGCGACGCGATCCGTGAATGGGGATGGCTTTGGTGTGGGATGGTACGATGCGTCGCACGATGCGGAGCTAGGCTCAGCACCTTGCATCTTCACCAGCGTCACTCCAGCTTGGAACAATCAGAACCTTCAGCGATTGGCGGAAAAGATCAAAAGCCCGTTGGTCTTTGCTCATGTTAGAGCTAGCACTGCGGGAGCTCTGAGCGAGACGAACTGTCATCCTTGGAGATATGGCAGATTGATGTGGATGCACAACGGAGCCATCTCGTCCTTTTCCAAGATCAAGAGACGACTGCTGCAAAGCTTGCCCGAGGAGCTCTTTCTGTATCCGCAAGGTCATACGGACTCTGAATACGCTTTTGCTGTGTTTTTGTCTCACTTGCCGGATCCGGCCAGTCAGAGCCCCACGGATCACAAGGTGCTGCAAAATGCAATGCTCAAGACGATTGCCGATTTCAATCGCTGGGCGAGGGAAGCGGGCGTTGATGAGGTGTGTTTATGTTTCGCTCGCACGGATTTGCTAAATCATGCCGTTGGGCTCGAATGCTCATCGAAACACGATTCCGCTGCGCAGCCAAGCCTCATGAACTTTTGCGTCACTGATGGAGAGTCAGTAGTATGCACTCGGTACGTCTCATCTCGGACCGATGAGGCGGCGAGCCTGGTGAGCACTGCACTGCATCGTCCCTTGTCAAATCCTCGTTTCAGAACTGAGACGCTATGAAGGACCGATTTGCAGTACTTTTCGTCTGGCACCTCGTTCTACGAGCACTCGCCAGGTACCTATCGCATGGTGAAAGCGGACAAGCGAGAGCGCATAGTCGTCGTAGCTTCCGAGCCCTTGACGTTTGAGAAAGCAGACTGGATGGAGATCTCGACCAACACGCTGGTCTGCATAACACCGAGGATGAATGTGCTTCAAAAGCCAATCGTGGACGAATTCCATACGGAGCGATTGGAGGATCATTTCAGATCACCTGCTTTTGCACTAAAGACGGGTTTTGCGCCCAATGTGCCTCTCAAA